AGCTCGCATCACATTTTGGACGGTGTCAACTAGTCGTAGCAAGCCCTTCTGGGATTCGGCGGGTTGGTTAGGCAAATTCAGGATACGCTGCACGTGGGATTCCACTAACAAGCGTGGATTATCAAACCGCCGTTTCATCTCCTGCCACATGTCTTCATAGCCGCCTGTGTATAGTCCACCGACCAATGGGACGCTATCTGCATTGACATGTTGGCGTAACTTGCTTAATTTGTAACTGGAATCCAGATCCTTACGATTGTGAACTAGTGCCTCGAACAAATCTTTGAAAGGCAGCCAATTCGCTGGGTCACCATTGAAAACAGGAATCTTAATTGGATCTAATCGCATGTCCAATTGATTCGCCACACAAATACCACCTTCACCAGCGCCACATGCACGACGTAGTCGAATACATATTTGTGTGTACAGCAACTCTGTCGCAGCCAAGAAATCGTCATGTGTGGTCACTTCGCTGGCTTGTGCTGAAGACACGAGGTCCGTATGATACGCCATAAACCTTTCAAAGTGTTTGTCCAACTGTCCACGAATCACATCGCACTCAATGCTGTCCGGATCGTAATTAGCTGCTTCAGTCATTTTGCCAATGCGCAGAATTGCGGCATGCGCTGAAGTACGTAGATTCAAACTAGCCATYAYAAAAATCTTGACATTGAAACAGGATCGAAAAGTTCCTCACAGGAGGCACCAAAAAGATGTACAAAAGTTGTCCGTCAATTAAAAGAGCACGTCTGTGGTGTATAACCGTCTGTCACAAAATAGACTGCTTCTTTATTCAATATCTCCTTAAATATACATATGTATAACGRATTGTAGAATCACGCCACATGATATATATGCACATACTTATATGTAYGTCTATAGTTACATATTTAAATTCACTAAGTTAGAGTGAAACTACTAGTCTACGAATACAAGGCTAAAGGCTTGTGTCCGCTAATCATAGTGATCATTCAGCAATCAGCTGACTGGTATTGGTTTGTGTCCTGACTAATTATGCGCAGGMCTGCATTCGACCGAACTTAAATCTTGAACACACTCTTTACACGTAAGGGAATCCTCTGGTGTAAACCGTATAAACTGCGGGCACAACTTCGCTTCCATTTCTTTAAGCACATTTGATGTCAGCTTCGAAACAGTACTTTGACAAATCGCAATCAAATAGTCACTGAATACACTGTGCTGGTATCCACTGCTAGCCAAATGTGAGAGCGTGGTTGCTAATTGTAGCACTGGAGGCACTGCTCTGGCGTCAGATTGCGTTAAACATATATTATTTAGGACATGTTCAAAAGCCTCTTTAGTTAGACGAAATCGTTTCTAAAATCCGCAAAGAAAACTTCGCTAATGAGGTTTCATGATTTATTTTTTATATATCTACGCTGTATTCGGCAGTGCCAAAGGATTGCTCCGAACTCTTAGTTGCCTCCGCACAATTTTTTCATCCCCATCACTCCTACTAGAGCTCAAATAAAAAAACAAAGTCGTATCCATCTTGATATTCAACCATTTGATATTTAAACTAACAAATTGATTGAATATTTTGCAACAGTTTTGACAGTTCCACAGCTGTTTTGACCTAAAAATACGATCCAAAGCAATGTGAAATTTAAAAACTATTGTGAATTGAATCGCGTCGTACCTATCGTATGTCATAATGCCAATCATCGCATACGATTGACGTATCACGTAATTTTCTTTCGTATGTTTACCGATCCGTGCACGCATGTAACGATTCGACCCCTGGTTCTACTCTTTATCAACAAAGAAACCGATTAAAAGGTTCTTCTTTATCAAATTTACTTTTCCTTCAGTCAACTAATAAAAAAATATTGGGATACGCAATAATTTGATCTGTTGCTTAATAAATTTCGAACGTATAGATTGCGTTTAATTTCTTTGTCAATTATTAATGTAAAAACTATGAATCCAACATCGACGTTTGGTTTTCGATAAACATCGATGTTGAGCTCTCGATTATGACATCGATGTCAACATCAATGTTTTTTGATTATCGATCATCCCAAGAACGAGCCCTAATTTTTTCTGTTTATATAGCATGACATCTGTCAAACATATGCAATAACTTTACAGTCATTGAACAAACCACATCATATTTTTTATTGTGTTGAAAATGTCAAGTTTTTTATCGAAAAGTGATGAATTGAGGGTAGCTTGATGTATTTTCTTATGCTGGAACTTAGTACTACAGAGAACCATATTTTGGGTCCCGGCAAAGTCGATCAGCCTCAACCTATTTGGGGAAGTTTCCTCGTGGAGGCTGAATTTACCGACCGTAGTGCCAAAGATACCTTCTTTGCCCACCCTGGCATTAAAGTCGCCAAGCTCGATTTTGACATCGTGGCGGGGGCAGCTCTCATAAGTGCGTTCCAAGCACTCATAAAAGGCATCTTTGGTCACATCGTCCTTCTCTTCCGTCGGGCGTGGGCGCAAATCAGCGATATGTTGAAAACTTTCACTTTGATGCGGATTGTGGCGAGACATTCATCCATCGGGGTGAACGACAGTACTCGATGACGGAGTCTCTCTCCCATCATGAATCCCACAACGAATTTGCGCTCCTTTATATGGCCACTGTAGTAAATGCCATAAGGATCTACTAGTCTCAGTCCTTGTCCCGCCCATCGCACCCCAAATCGTAGTCCTTAATTCGTTTGCCATGGTCGTCATCAAAAGGGGTGTCTCTAAGCAGAGGCTGATTGTTATTCCGAGGCTTATTGCTATTTTGCATTGGATGCATTTTTTTACGGAGCGGGTCCTAAACTCAGCGTACAACCCTGTGTAGGGGAAATTTCGCTTTTTCACTTTAGCTCGCCTTCAAAACGATGTTCTTAGGCTACCTAGAGGATACTTGTTCAAAGACCGGAAGTCATGAGCTGCTTGAGCCCTATGTAAAATAATCGTTTCTTTCCACTCCCAAGTGAATGACTTTCCTCACTTTCGTGAACTTCTACACATGTTTCTTCATTGCTTGTTTATAAATTTGTACATAGTTATAAGAAAATTTGGGAGAGGGAAACATGATTCCTTCTTCAAGAAAGCGAATACTTTGGGACCGAAAAATTTGTCCGCTTAAGAGAGCTGTCCGAAAGAAGAGTTTTCACTGTTTACTGAGGCATGTAAGCTTATATATTCTAGTGAATATATATTCATATATATATTACTAGACAACCCGTCCACGCTTTACTGGTACTACTAACACCATCCATATGATTTCTAGTCACCACCTATCTCTACGAGTAAAAGATACATATACAAATTTGGCAACTGAAGAACTACATATTATGTAATGACATATATTACTTTGATGATGCAGCTCGTGTTAGTTTATAAAGAATTAAAAATTACTGTTGAATTTGGACTCTGCACCAGGCTAGTCAACCGTTTAAAAGAAATTTGCTAAGTACCATTACTAATCATATGGTATATCCATTTTAGGTACGAAGATACATTGTTATCAGCAAAACACACTTTCTCATTGGCTTTGAGATAACTCACCTTTGAGATAAGTCACCTGGAAGTTCGAAAATCGTTGGGTTAAGTAAATGGGAGCTAAGAGAAGTACTAACACGATTCAATATATTTTCGACACACAGACATGCCATAGTGAGGAAAAGATAATAATAAAAAATGTGTCGTAAAAAGTCAAGTTTTAGAAACTACATAGGATCCAAATAGTTTTAGTTGGATTTCGACAACTCATCCCCCACGTGTTGTAGTCGTTTGTAACGTTGTTAGGTAGGCAGTTTGCTTTCTCTCCGCTGCGACATGGTACTCCTAGTCGTACCAGCTGTTCTCTTGCATTCCCTTATAACGAGTTGCTGACGAAAGCTCTCAGAGAGGAGGAGCGCGAGCCGAGTAGAAAATCGGTCGGCTATCTGTTGTGATTGCAGCTTCTCGACGTCGAACCTTCCTGGTGTTTGTTGACGTGCGTTCTTTATTGCACAAAGGCGGGTGCGTATCTTGGCTGCAAAAAGATAGTGCTGCGAGTCGATGTTAGGACCTCGGAGCGTGCGCACGTCACTGGAGACGTTTCTACCATCTATCACAACATGATCTCTAAACTCCCCAAACTTAGTTCATAGGCAGGAATATTTAATGCAGTTGGACGCAATTCCCATAGCATGACTTGTGGCTTCTTCTTAACGTCGTTTGTATAAATGTCCGATTTGATGTTTAATTTCTACTCATGGGTTTTACTATTTAGCGATTATTTTAAGGCTTTATTCTGCATTTTAGCAATAATTTTCTTCCACCGCTTAAAATTTTCTCGATTACAACCAACAGCGCAAAAAAATAAAAAAATCTTTAAAAATTAGACTTTAAACTTTGACTATAAACCTGAGTTTTTATTTAAATTCGGGGGGTGAACGATACCAAAACTAGAACTGCTTTTATATTTATATGTATTTTTTACGCCTGTATTTCTTTGGTGTGAATCGCTTTTCTGTGAGGCATGTAAGCTTATTGAAGATAAAAGTATTTTTAAAACGTTCTGTTATTTAAATAATAATAAGGTCTATGATTTAAAGCAGTAAACATTTATTTTGCAGATGAACGAGGACTTATGACGGCAAATGAATATATTTAAAATGTTTAACGGAAGTGCACAACTCGACATTAATGTGACAATTATATTTTGCAAGCAAATATGGATTGTATGAAACGACATAACTATTACCTAAAGATTTTCCTCTAATATTAACGGAAGCATTACTCGTATTATTGCGTCGTCTATACAACGGATAACCACTATCTTATTCTTTCGTTGATTGTACCAAATACTTTGGAAATTCTTTTGAACGTTTTCCAACTTGCATACATATAGAGGGACTCAAAACCCGCATTGACCGTGGATCATGTGTTTGACAACATATTCATGTAGCTTTTGGCTATACATTTTTATTCGGTATCTCCGCACAAACAATTTTATCAATATCCATATTACTTGCAATCACTTGTCAATTCGGATTGCAAGTCATTGTAACAAAAAGCGATGGCTTGCCGAAGGGTTGAACATCTAAGTAATTTTGATACATGTAGGATTAAGGCAAACTCATTTTCCGACCTAAGCTAGCATCTCCTAATTGATTCGTTTACAAACATTCAGAAATATGGTTATACACATCTGCCCACAAATACACTTGATTCTTTTTTTCTCACGTACATATCAACAGTGTACTGCAAAAATAGTTTATGTGTTTTCAAATGCCTACCATAAAAATTATGTTGCACGTTACTCAATACATTATATTAACGTGCCAACCAAATTCCCCATTTAAGTAAGGATAAGGCAATAGATCTAAAGTAGAATCTAATACTGATACACTCCTAACCACACTATTTGTATTTAAAAAATATATCATATTTCTCTCAAATGGTGGTTCAGCATCTACAGTCATAAATTTAAAGGGAACATCAGCTTGAGTTGCATTATTATAACTTTGTATATTCACGGTTCACGATTATCGCCTTACAAATCTATTTCTGCGCATTGCATAGGCTATCTCAATGTTCCGAATAAATTGGTGAATTCTATCCAATTGAACAGAAATTTA